CACCCAAGAAAGAATTTAGTAAACTTATACTTTTTCATTCCTTCATTCATCCATCTATCTATCTCAGTCTATTCCAGTCCATCAATCTATCTATTTACGTCTATTCCAATCTATCTACGTCTAATCCAATCTATCTATCTATCTATCTATCTATCTATCTATCTATCTATTTACGTCTATTCAAATCTATCTATCTATCTATCTATCTATCTATCTATCTATCTATCTATCTACGTCTATTCCAATCTATCTATCTATCTATCTATCTATCTATCTATCTATCTATCTCAGTCTATTCCAATCTCTCTGTTTACCTCAGTCTATTCCAATCCATCTATATATATATATATATATATATGTGTGTGTGAGTGTGTGCATCGTCCTACCAACATAATAAAATTAGTCCGAAGAAGACCTGGAATAATATATATATATATATATATATGTGTGTGTGTGTGTGTGTGTGTGTGTGTGTGTGTGTGTGTGTGTGTGAATCAAATTTGTGACCAACAGTGACCGACCACAAATGACAATTTCACGCTTTTAATCAGGTTGAAAAATGCTATTTAAGCTTTTGTAAATTTATGTCATTCAATATGTCATGGAGCACTTTTCTGATGTGCACAAGTAGTAGATTAATTCTAGATGATTCTTCTGACACACACACACATATATATATATATATATATATATATATATATATATATATATATATATATATATATGAATATTTATTAAAAACCTTTATAAATTTGACATGATTGTTTAGCTTCATCCGAAATTTTTTTACCGCTAAATTTAATAGCGAGAATTTATAAATGATTTCATATTGGTTCCTGGTTTCTTAAGTAATCATTTTGCCGGATTAAATCCATGTCTTGAACTCATATATATATATATATATATATATATATATATATATATATATATATATATATAATGAACACGCTACCGCCCCTGTCTGAATGATTGGATTTCTCTATATCCTTGGAAACAGGAAATCATGAATTTATATGTGCGTTTAAAACTCAGTAAATTTTAAAAATAAGTTATTCCAATATTCGCTTGAAGATGAAACAGAACTAATAATTTTAATTCAATTATATAATTAAATATGAAGTTTTTAGCTTCCATTTTTGAAACATGGTTATTACTGTGTAGCGAAAAAACTTATTTTAAATCAGTTAAGTTATTATATATATATATATATATATATTAGTAGTGGTTTTATAATGACAGCAAGCTCATATATATATATATATACATACATATATATATATATATATATATATATACATATATATATATATATATATATATATATATATATATATATATATATATATATATATATATATATATATATATATATATATATATATATATATATATATATATATACATATATACATATATATATATATATATATATATATACATGTTTTTTTATTAGAAACTAGCAGTAGAGCCCGGCGTTGCCCGGGGATGTAACAGTAAGAGATAGATCAAGTATCGACCATCATAAAGCCGGAAAAATAAAATTGACAAAGATTATTGTTTAAGGTTGACAGACACGCATGTCTTAATTAGTTTTCTTTTTTAACGAATTGGTCAAACCCAAACTCAAACCAAAACATTGTTTTCAATCGTTATGAGTCTACCGATTGAATAGAATTTTATTATAAACAATTATCTTGTAAATGGAATTTTTAAAGCATTCTGAATATAAAAATAAAGAAAAACGTGTGCAAGACAATAAGAAACACTACCTGCCAAAAAAAAGTGAAGTTTTGTTGAAATCGGTTGAAAAATGTAGGAAATCCGATATCTATATATGAACGAACACACACACACACACACACACACACAAACACACACATACATACACACAAATAATAAGTATAACTCGATATGAGTTGCCCACCTTTCATTCATGCGACAGAATCGTGTTTTATCGTGTTTTCAAATTGATTTCGTGCAAAAACAATTGTTTTTTCCAATTTTTGGCGCTGTTAGAACCACCGCAATGTAATTTGACGCGGTCCTGTGAAGTTTTGTTGAAATCGACTGAAAAATGTAGGAAATCTGATCCCATATATAAACGAACACACACACACACACACACACACACACACAAACAACCTGGGTTTTATAATAAGTATAACAAGATATGAGTTGTCCCCCTTTCATTCTCGCGATAACAATACCCCTTAATCGTGTTTTCAAACTGATTTTGTGCAGAAACAATTGTGATTTTCCAATTTTTGGCGCTGTCAGAACCACCACAAGGTAATTTTACGTAGTCCTGTGAAGTTTTGTTGAAATCGGTTGAAAAATGTAGGAAATCCAATCCAATATATAAACGAACAGACACACACACACACACAACCTGGGTTTTATAATAAGTATGATTTTCATATGACTAAAAGAAAAAAACGATTCATGATTAGATTTTGCCCTCGTAAAATATCCTCCTAGATTATTGCATCATAAATTGTTGTCATTCGTTGCAAAAGTTTCTTAAATATATGCTTGATAACTGATTCCATTGTTTTTTCAAATGGCTCTAAGAAAATTTTTGAACTGTAGTATATATATATATAT